ACGTGCTCCTCATACCAGATCCCAGCTCCTGAAATATCATCTTGGCCCTCTTGAACTATGTGCTCCTCATACCAGCTCCCGAACCCTGGTATATTTTCTTAGCTCTCATGGATTGTGTTCTTTTGCACCAACTCCTGATCCTAGATATCGTTTATCTTCGGTAGATTAGGTGGCTTGGTGTTTGATCAAAAGACCTTCTGTGTTTTAATCTTGTGGTTTTATATGAAAACAATGTCTTGTTTAACAAAATATGTTTTGAAAGAATTTATGGATCAAGTAATATGTGGTGGTTGAATGTCAGAATTAATGAATGTTTGCATAATCAAAGTATTGATTTCTATGGAAAAATATGATTCAATATACTTTGGAACGTTGATAGGGTATAAGAGAAAGTGTTTGGGATAAAAATGAGTGAAAAAATCGTGTTTAAAGAAAACTGGGAGTTGTTGGAATCGAATCTTCGCTTGAGTGCCAAGTGGGCGGCCAACGAGAACGGTCTGAGCAGTCTTCAGTATTTTTGTCCTAACTTTTTCTCCTGATGTCCAATTGAGCTGATTCAAAATGCGTTGAAAAACTAACCCAAAGTGCTACAATTCTTTTTGATAGCCTTGTCCAAATTTCAATGTTTTTTATGTGAAAAATGCGTTTCAAGTTGCAACTGAGAATTTGGAGCACAAGTTGTGCAACACTTTTACACTAATTTGACGTCTAATTTCATTCCAGTGATTATATTTGATCTTCTTGGATATATTAATCCTTCAAAACCTAGAGCACCAATCCCAACTCTTTTGCTATAAATAGGATTCAATAACTCATATTTTGACTTTGATTACAAATTGATAAACTCGTAACACAAGTCAACTATGACACGGACTAAGAAAATTGTCAATTACAAATTAGCCTTTACAATTTTTCCATTTGACATTTCGTGACAAAATCAGATTTATTTCAAAGTCAGTATGTCTAAAACTACCCAAAAATAAACTTACCAAAATTTACTTCAATATTTAGTCAACATATTTCTTGAAATACATGGAAATCACAATACCAAGTGAAAAGTAAGAGGAAACTATCAAAATCAAAATCATAAAACTAAATTAAATAAAACATGTGTAACACTAAAGCATGCAATATCATGCAAATTATAAACTTATAAATAACCATAGAATCTTACATCAATATAGACAAAACACAACACTATACAAATAACAAAATTCCAGCAAATATATCAAATGACTCCTCCTATGTCATCTATCGATCAAAAATTTTAAAATTCTCCCCCTAACTCATATATTCAACTCTCTGAAATAAATACACATCTCTCCTCCTTTTGTCACGAATAACAAAGGAAATACACGTAATAATCATGTCAAATACAGAGAGGAACGAGAAAAAAATATGCTCATGTATAATAATGCAAAAATTATACAAAAACATGTAATAGAAGAATAAAAATAATTCAATTTCGAGACAAACTTTTTTTGTTTTTTCTCTAATTTTTCATAAATTTTCAACTTTATCATCGTGAACAATTATTTGTTTACTTATACATACATAGTTTATAAACAAGTAAATGTTTCCCACATAACTTATTTTAAACCTAGATGGAGTAAAATGTATAAGCCATACATGTGTGAAGTGTCATTAAACTCATGTAAGCAATTAGATGTATAATTAAGGGTGAAAATGGAAAAAAAATGAAAGGTAGAGACGTTTTCCATAATAATAATAAAAGTTATGGACGTATATTCTAATTACCAATATACTACTACTTTTAGGAAACCAAAATTACTAGACTTTATATTATCTTTAATTCATTGTCAGTAGATGAAATAAACGAAGACTGTTTCATTGTTTTGTTTAGTGCTCCCTGTTTGTAAATGGAAAGTACGGGAAGAAAAATAAATTGCAAAACATGTATCACCAAATAAAAAAAATTGACGAGAGAACTTTCTACAATATAGTGATGTGATTGAATTTCGTGAAACTAAAAAATGTATGAAACGAGGGAGAAATGTATCAGACGTAAAATGTTATGTATATATTTTTTTTTGCTAAAATGATAGCATGTAAACAGGTGCATGGTCCATGCTACTAAACTTGGGCCCATGCATTTAACTAAACTAAAATGTGAATATGGAAATTTAATAAGGGAAAATTTTATAACTATAAATATTTCAAAATAACACTGCAAATTAGGTAGTCATATTTTGTAACCTTTGATAAATTGTTGTGTAACTACAAATATTTCAAAATTAGGTAGTCATACTTCGTGACTTGTGATAAATTGTTGTGACCTAAAATTTGATTTAGCAGGTCGTGATTATGATCATAATATTATAAAATTTATGATCATGATTATATATTAGTCACAAATCATATAAAGTTAGAGTCACTAAGACTCAATTTATGGGTCACAATTATATACTTAGTCGCAAATCAAATAATTTAACAAGTCACAAATTATTCAATTCATTAGTTACAATATTTTTCACCTCACCTAACTCTACTTCACCAACGTCGGCACCATCCAAATCGTCGCCGCCACCTCAAATTCACAACCCATCACCACCACTTGCACATCATATCTACAACTATCACCACCACCTCTACAGTCAACATACCTTCACCTCAAATCCACCACAGGACTATAATAAACCGCTAACCTATTTAGTTGATTTTTCAATGGAACTCGCGAAAGAGAGAAGTAGAAGCACAACCAGATGCACACAACTAGAAGTAGAAGCAGCGACCTTCTACTAGACCGCCACCAACTCCAACTCCAACTCCAACGCCACCACTAGCGACCTCTAGATCTATGTCAAAATGGGATTCCGTAGTTGGCCATCGATCTTCTTGCAACATATCAATATGAAGCATGAATAAAAAATAGTTATTGCAAGTCTGTCAAAGTTGGAATCCTGAATCAATTGTCACTTGGGCGACGACGGAGGTGCGAGGTTGGCTTGAACTTTCATTGATGCTTGATATAAGCTGGATAATTTGGGGTTTTAAATTTATGAATAGATATTTACAATAGTGAACCTTTGATAGTTCAGTTGCATTGTAAACAATCTAGAAGCTTTTATTATGTAACTCACATGGTATATCAAGCATCTTTTTTCTTTTTTTTTTTCAACTTTCATTCAATTAGAAGTTCACAATGATATATCATGGAAGTAATCAAATTTTTTTTGGTTGGATTGATGAAGGTCAATGGTCTTAAATGACTAATGGAAGGTGAAAGTTAAGCGTTCAAACCTAAAATCATCTCACTACACCTAAAAAGGCCTTTTGCAGTGGCCAAAAAACGGTGCAAAAGGCCTTTTGCATCGTTTTATCATGTGTTGCAAAGTTCAGTGTTGCCAAAGAGGGAAGATATACGGCAACGTTTAAAAAACGCTGCAAAAGGTCTTTTGCAGCGTTTTTTAAACGTTGCAAAAGACCTTTTTTGCAATGTTTTTTAAACGTTGCAAAAGACATTTTTTGCAGCGTTTAAAAAACGTTGCAAAAAAGTCTTTTGTAACATTTAAAAAACGTTACCTTTTTTTTTTACAGCAATTTATGTAAATTGAATA